CTTCCTTATCACCAACTTTCACCTTTTTTATAAAAAGAAAGTTAAAAGTAATAAAACAGAGATACATCTTACTGTGTCTTTTTGTATAGGATCAAGATTTTCTTTAAACAATTATGTACCTGGAGATAGTTTATATTTAAAAAGAAATGGTCTTCAGGCCACTAGGAGGGAGGTAGGGAAGGAAGGAGGGAGAGAGAAGAGGAAGGGGATGAAGGATGGAAGGATGGAAGGATGGAAGGAAGGAAGGAAGGATGGAAGGAAGGAAGGAAGGAAGGAAGGAAGGAAGGAAGGAAGGAAGGGGACGAGAGGAGGGAGGAAGTTCAGTAATTATAGAATGTATAATTATAGAACAGAATTTATCAGCAGAACTGTGATCACACTGCAGAAGTAAGATGGAGTCTCCGTACAAACATTGGTTCAGAAGTGAAGACTGATGACGTCACACATGAACCAAAAGAGGACGAAAAGGTTTAGTAATCACATAGCGAGATTTTCTGGGGAGTTTAGGGTAGGTTCCCAAGCAAGTTGAAACATCAGGAAGGACAGCTGTTTTGGGAGTTTATGGTGATTAGGGGATGGGGCTGGGATGAGTGTTCCCACACACAGGCATGGACAGGGGGTCACATAGTTTGAATTTCCCACCAGTGCCAAAGAAGGGACTACCCAGATTTTCTTAACAGCTTGCCCAGATTTGGGATATAATGAGAGAGGGGCATGATGGGGCTCGAAAACTGCCCACAGTCAAACATCAAAGTGGAGTCAGACTTTATTACACATGTGAAGTAGGTATTCCTAAAAGGACTACTCTTGGATATTTTAATCCCAACTCAGGAAGTGTAGAAGAGAAAAGCAAATGCCTCTTGCCACTGACTTGAATTTGAGTTGATGCCTATTGAGAAAACTTTACCTCTGTCACATTGACCTGGCCTCATGGTAATTGTTCTGCACATTGTAAATAGCTTTCACCTACCTTAAAGGTAGACCCAGTCTTAATGAAGTTTCTCTCCAAAACATTATCCAGAGCTGGATCTAATTCCTGCCCAACATCTTCGATCAGCAAGGGCCTTCCAAGAGAAAGACTGTCCTCAAGGTGGTTTCTGAAGTATTTGTGATTTAGAGATGTGATCTAGAAACCAAATCAAAGTGGTGCTCTTGATTGATAGTATCGTGATGTGATGCACAAATAACTGATAGTAAGTGGTACATAAGCATTCCATCACACAAGACAGATACAGAGAGTTCAGAGATCCTTACTTAGAACTGCACTTGGTGAAATGGTACAGAAAGCTTCAACGGTTTCCATTCTTTTCCTTAGCAAACCATCATTCCCTTTTACTGGGAAGTACGGAAAGGCTCTCTGTGGCATTGCTGCCTTTTCCTCACCAGCACCACTTTTGTGACAAAGAATGACGGAATAATTTTGAAGTGTCCCAATAAAGTGCTGACACTTAGTGTGACATAGCTGCACCCTGCTCTGTTTATCAGAGGGAGCCTTGGGCCCTAACAGAGAGAGTGTGAAACCTTTTAAAGGTGACATTAATAGAGATTGACACAAATGCTAAAATAATACAATCTTTAGAAATTATTTCTAAATATCAAATATTTCTTTATTCCCAGATGCATGCTGATCTGAGGCCATAACACTTGACTAGTGGTATAAATATATTCAAACAGAAACTACCTGGAGTTCATTTTGGCTTTCTTTATTTTTAATCCAGATCTTGCCTTGAGTCTGTGGATCTATTAACAAAGGATAGCGGGATGCCTTTGTGACAATAATCCCATTCTGAATGGACAGGTCATCATTTGGCAGGCCTTGGAGGTTCCATTCACTAATTGTAGGAGCATCAATCAACATCTCGGTGAGATTTAGACTGTCCCCAAATGGAATTTTCCGGGCTTTCATTTCCTTCTGCCAGTCATTTAACAGCAGATTGCGAAATTCTTGGTTAAATGGACCAGAATAAGACAGAAAAGCCGTGGCCAACAATACATCCCCTGAAAAGGAAAATAAAACACAACCGAAGTTCTTTATGATCAACCTTGTAATTGTACACATATTAAACGTGAAAAAGATAACCATTGTTTTAAACTACATTACAGAAACCAAACTGCAACCACATTTTGCTGTGTCTTGGTGAATAAT